CCCCCCCCATCCCTCTCCCCCTCTGGACCTAAGGCCCCTGTTCCCCCACATCATCTATACCAATTGCTTCACTTGTGTGCTAATAATACATTTTTTAAATCCCTTCTTTTTTTTTCAATACTTCTCTTTTTAATTTCCTTGTCTCCCTGAGGCATGTTGGGCGCAGGGCAGCCCCGAGGGGGTGTCAGGCCACCCCAGGGTGATTTCTGCCCCTCTGCCACACAGTGGGTTTTGTGGTCTGCACAGCAAAAATACAAAGGCACCCACGCAAGGTGGAAGAGCTGGAACAGAACCCCGTTAGTCTGCTTGCAAAATATTGTGCTAATATTTCACTGAAAGCTTCGGCAAACAGTGAGCCCACACAAGGCGGGATGGTGGAGAGCAAGAGGCAGTCTGGGATGAGGATAACGGGGGACAGAATATCCTTTGCTCTCTTCCTGATGCAGGGGCTGGATGATAAGGGAAACGAGACGTCCTCAGGGTCAGAGGTGCAGCCAGGAGCTCCATTTTCATGGAGCAAAACTCCTCTTCAGTCTTACTGCTTATCTCAGGTCTTATTGCCATTAAACAGTACAAAAAAGCTTTCCTCATTTTCTAGGTAATTAGGTCTTGTGAGTAGTCCTCTCTCTGTCGCTGTTGCTCAGCCCCCGGAACACCCATAGATACTTCAAAAGACTCTTTTTTCTCTTGTTTTTCCTCAGCATTCCCTGTTTTCGGCGTTTTCTAAATTTGGGCCGCTCTACTCGGTGCGAGCACACAGAAATGCTGCCGTGGCAGGGCCTGGGTATTATGCCGTTATCAAGTTTTATTCGGCTGGAGATGCCAGCAGAGCCCAGCGTGCCTGCAATGGGCAAAGGCTGTTTCAGAACTCTCCCTTGAAGGTAAGCAGAAACGCCCCAGGTGTGGAACTCACAGGACTCAGCACCCTGACCTCCAGCAGCAGGGTAGAATCACATTAAATACTTGTTGATCTCAAAGATGCTTCCTGTACAAAAAGTTTACTAACTTGTGGCTGGGTGCTACCACTGTGGTGACATAGAATCATAGAATGGTTTGGGTTGGAAGGGACCTTAAAGCTCATCCAGTCCCACCCCCTGCCCTGGGCAGGGACACCCCCCACCAGCCCAGGTTGCTCCAAGCCCTGTCCAACCTGGCCTTGAACACCTCCAGGGATGGGGCAGCCACAGCTTCTCGGGGCAACCTGCCCCAGGGGATCACCACCCTCACAGGAGAGAATTTCTTCCCAATATCTCATGTCAGTCTCCCCTCTTTCAGTGTAAAACTGTCCCCCCTCATCCTGTTGCACCTGTCCATGATCCAGAGTCCCTCCCCAGCTCTCCTGGAGCCCCTTTAGGCACTGGAAGGGGCTCTGAGGTCTCCCCTTTTTCGCCTTCTCTTCTCCAGGCTGAACCCCCCCAACTC